TCCACATTATAATTTCTTCTTTGTTTTTCAAATTTTGATTAGGCATAAATCCACCTCTCTCCTATCTATGGGTTAACTAGTAACACTTGCATCACTAAAATATCTCCCCCCCCAAAAAAAAATTCTTACGATCTATAAATAGTTTCTGGCTTTAACTAACCTGCAAAGGGTTGATAAGCCGTCAAAATCGAATCAATAAATGAAATACAAATGAGCTACACGGGCATCTCTTTTAGATTTATTTACATTCTCTGGAATATAAATGTATTAAGACCACCGTGGCCACAAAGTGAGGGTCCAGTCTATAGTGTGATTGTCATATAGAATCATTCCCCCACTTCATATCCACATTATAATTTCTTGATTGTTTATCAAATTCGGATTAGGTATGGATCCACGCCCACCCAAAGAATAAGTTAGTAAAACTTGTTTTACGAAATCATCATTATCTTCCAAAAAGAAAATTTCTTGCAATCTAAAAATATTTTCTGGCTTTAAATAACCTGCAAAGGGTTGATAAGCCGTCAAAATCGAATCAATCAATAACGAACATGACTGGAACTGAAAATTAATCTCCAAGTAGTTAACCATTACACCAACCACCCATCCTCGTATTTCCAAGTGGTCACCCATCTACTGAAGAGACTCAACGTTGCTTAACTTCGGTGAATCCTACGAGAATTGGTGTTTCAACGTGATATGACCGTAAGCCCATAGCACCACTCGCACGTCATCTAAACTTAGGGCACATGGCATTACCAAGCGGTCACCCTCTAAGTATTGACAAGGCTCGACGTTGCTTAACTTCATGAAGCGTACAAGAATTGGTGTTTTAACGAGATAAGACCGTAAGTGTAAAGTAAACAGAATAATTTTAATTAAAAAAACTTAATTAATTATTTAGATGCTTGAGGAAGTATAAAATTTAATTAAAGTTCATTAAGATTTTTAATTAACATCTATTTCAATGATATATTCTGTAAGTATGCTACCGAGAAAATGTGATGAGTTATAAAAAAACCTACTCTTTAATTAATTGAATTGAATCATGATATGATAATGGTTATGTTATTATTAGCCGTTTCCTTATAAGGAAACATCCAGCATTCATTGACTGAGCAGCGAATGGTTTTCTCGATTGATATGTATAAAATCTTTCTGTTCAAACAGTGTTTCAAGGAAATAGGTTTAACAAGTCCAGTAGCTGTTATCACTCTTTCCAGTATTGATGGAGGTTTCCTTCCTAACCTTTTGTTCGAAGTAGTGTGGAATGTCAACATCTTGATTATCTCATCATTTTCTATTCTCAAACCCAGTAGCTGTTATCACTCTTTCCAGTATTGGTGGAAGTTTCCTTCCTAACCTTTTGTGGAATGTCAACATCTTGATTATCTCATCATTTTCTCTTCTCAAACCCAGTAGCTGTTATCACTCTTTCCAGTATGGATGGAGGTTTCCTTCCTAACCTTTTGTTCGAAGTAATGTGGAATGTCAACATCTTGATTATCTCATTATTTTCTCATCTCAAGTCTAGTAGCTGTTATCGCTCTTTCCAGTATTGACGGGGGTTTATTTCCTAAACTTTCAAGCCTACGGCCACGCCATCACCGAAGTTAAGCAATGTCGAGTAATTTCTATCACCGAAGTTAAGCAATGTTGAGTAAGTTCAGTACTTAGATGGGTGACCGTTGGGAATATCAGGTACTGGAAGCTTGGATCATTGGGTGGTTTATGGAATTGCTAATCGGAGAACCGAGTTCGAATTCCCGTTGAGTTCGTTATATTCAATTACGGGCAAATACTTTTGGGAAAGGCATGAAACCACCTCTTCTCCCCTCCAGCTACGGGTTAATTAGTAAGATGTATATCAGTAAACCAATATTATCAGAAAGATAAAATAAAATTGCGTGCAAAATATTTAGTGTTTGGTATTAAAAATTCCATACATGTTGATATCCACTATTTACATTATTCGGACTATTGTCCTCATCTTTGTCGCCATAATTATCACAACGTTTCGGCCGTTGTATGCTCCGCCCTTCTTCAGGTGGTTCGACTGTTGAACTGAACCCTTTTTTATCTGTCTATATTTCTGAGATGAGGTATTATGTACACTATTTATATTATTCGGTCTATTATCCTTATCTTTGTCGCCATATTTATTACAACGTTTCGGCTGTTGTACGCTCTGGGCTTCTTCAGGTGGTTGTAATGTCGAACTGAACCCTTTATTACGCTCAAAGACACACGACACAGTGGATAAAGGCGTTAATTAGATCCAGTGACATGACCCAAAGAATGTGAGTTCAATACCTGGTTAAGGCAGTGGAGAACTTTGAGAAGGGAATTAACACGAGATAACTGGCAACTGACATCCATCACGTGGAACTAGAACAGTCTAGGACAGTCGAACGAAATAAAGATGACAAAGATGGCGACAAAGATGAGGACAATAGTCCGAATAATGTAAATAGTGTACATAATACCTCATCTCAGAAAT